CACCTCCCAATGCTGGAATTACAGCTGTGTGCACTACTCTCAATGTTGTTCGGTGCTGGGACTGAACCAAGGGATTTGTTCATGCTTAGCAAACCATCTGAGTTGTATCTCCAGGCTGAGCAACACATGAAGAACGGTCAGCAAGCCACCCCTCCATGGCCTCTACATCAGCTCTTGCCTCCAGGTTCCTGCCTTATCTGAGCTCCTGTCCTGATTTTCTTTGATGACAGTGACATGGAAGTGCAAGATGAATAAACCCTTTCTTCCCCTTACTTTTTGGTCATGGTGTTTCATCATTGCAATAGAAACCCTAACTAAGGCAACATGTATGTAAAAAAAAAAAATAATGAAGAAAAAACAACTTCAAATGATTGACAGTGTTACCTATACAAACAAAAACCACTCCAGTATGTCGGCATATAAAATTAAAATGCAAAAACTAAAGTAGAGAAATACTTGTAACACAGATGGCAAAGGGGTCCTTAAAAGAGCCTGGAAATGGCGCTCACAGCCGGCATGATAGAAAGATTAGTACAGTCCTGCACAGGGCTGGCGTGCACATTCATCAAGCCTTACATACTTCCGTAAGGGAAATGTGCTCCGTATTCACAATGGATCTTTCTCAGCCATAAAGGAAAATGAAATCAAGACATATGCAGGAAAATGGATGGAATGGAACTGGAGAGTATCAGGTTAAACAAATTAAGCCAGACCCAGAACAATACCTTCAGTATTTTTCTCATATGTAGAATCTAGATTTAGGTGTATGTATGCCATTCCTGAGACTGCAAACTAAGAGCTGAGGTCTCTTTATCACCATCCACATGTACCCTGATACCAAGAATTAACCAGAAATGTACTTGTTCAATAATTTAGTTTCCCCCACTGAGAGCTTTCTTTAAAGATTTATTTTTTATTTTAAGTGGATATGTGCCTGAGTGTATTATGTGAACCCTGTGTATGCTGTGGCCACAGAAACCAGAAATCAGCTCTCATGGAATTAGTTATGGGCAGCTATAAGTCACCCGAGTGGGTACTGGGAATTGAACCTGGGTTCTCTGCAAGAGCAACAAGTGCTCTTAACCACTGAGCCATCACCTCTCCAGACCAAGGGGATTTTTAGCTCTTGCTCTTTCTTGTTTTTTCCTGCTAAAATAAATGCTTTCATGGAACTTTCAAAGTGCTAGACTGTAGAAATTCCAGACTTATTTCTGATGAAGAAAAACACCAGAAGTGGAATTATACACAGGAGCACACAATTCGCCACCACATCGCTATTTTTAAAAGCATGATCTCAAACTCTCTAAAGTGAAATCAAGAGTTTTGATCTTAAAGTTTGATTCATAATTTAAACCTGAGCTGTCTTTGGGTTCCTAATCGTTTCTGTCAGAGGGCTGCTGTGTTGGAGGTGCCCCATGAGAACCATCCAGTTCTGCCCAGATGAGAATTCAATAATTGCTATTGGTGAAGGGTGCCTGTTAGGACGGGGGCAGCTAAGGCTACAATTGGGATGCATCAGGCAACCCTCTAGAACCAGAAAGCCCTGCAACTGGGATAAAAATATGCCATAGAGCAGCTGAAAAGGAGGCTGGGTGAGATACGCTAATCCCAAAGCAGGGGAAAACATCTCTGTTACAGCCGGGGCTGCCGCCACCACCCTTGGCTTCCCAGTATAAAGCTGTCAAGAGAGAGTGTCTTCCCCAAACTCCACAGATGCGTTCCTAAGGTGGTGGCAAAGTGCCCTGGGCTCTCTTATATACTGGTCTCTGAGGTGTCCTAACTTCTGGGATGTGGCAGGGGTTTGTCACAACATGGAAAACCCACTGGTCCTTCTAACCTAAGCAGGAAAGGGTTTTTCAGAATTTTACATAGCATATCAAGAAGGGGCACTATTTATCCATTCATCAGTGTCTATTTGTTGCTTTGAATGTGCCAGTTCCTGTTTATGGAACTAGGATATGGCTACTGAAAGAAAACGAAGTCCTTTCTCTAGAGATGTATCTGGGAGATGGACAGCAAATGTGACCACAGCTGGTGAAGAGCGCTGTGGAGAAAGCACGGCAGGGCAGGTGGCTCTTCCAGAGGCGCCGAGTGAGAAGGGAGCAGAGAGAGGTACCGGGGCGGGGGCGTGGGGGTTCCAAGGCAGAACTGGCAAATGTATGAACCGTGAGATAAGGACCAAGGACCGCCAGATCATTTGGATGAACTGGAGAGGGGAACATAGGCGGAAAAGGCAGCAGAGGGCCAGAGTACAGGGTGCTCTCATGGGCCAGTGTAGAGAACTGGACTTTTACAGAGGCAGTTGATTATGGGGAAAGAAAACCAGTTCAGCCTGCTGCAACCCAAACGAGAGATCATTCCTGATCCCTACAGTGCTAACTGGCTGGACTCTGAGCACAGGCTGGAGATACAGCCAAGACAGTTTTTGGACTCACTTTTCTACCCAGTCCAACTTTCAAGTGTAACAAGACAGAAGAAACAGGATCGTTTAAGGATAGACAGCCAGTCCTATCAAGATTTGGGGGATTGTCTACTTACAAATACGTACTTATGACCCCAGTATGCTGGCTAGTTTTACAACAACTTGACACAAGCTAGTCACCGGAAAGAGGGAAACTTTCAAATAGGGAAAAAAAAAAAAAATGCTACCATAAAATCAGGCTATATAAGCAAGCCGTTGGGCATTTTCTCAGTGATTGATGTGGGAGGGACCAGCCCATTGTGGGTCATGGTATCCTGGATTGCTGGTCCTGTGTTCTGCAAGAAAATCAGGCTGAGTAAACCATGGGGAACAAGTCAGTAAGCAGCACCCCTTCATGGCCTCTGCCTCAGCTGCTGCCCCTGGGTTCCTGCCCTGACTTCCCTCAGTGATGGACTATTGCCTGAAAGTGGACGATGAAATAAACCCTTTCCTCCCCAAGCTGCTTTTGGTCATGGTATTTCATCATCAAAATGAACCCTAACTGAGGCGCAGTGCTTTCCCTGCAGTTTGTGTAGCCTGTTTTGAGTAGTTTGAGGAGTATGTTCCTAGTGGAGGGCCAACAAGGTGACCCTTGACCTTCTCACATCAGCTCTACTGATGCTGAGCCTACTATCCACCTTGTGTCACGTTTTCATGCATAAGTGATTTTTGGTTGAAAATGACCTTCAGACACAGCGCTTGCTCATCTGCTAAGTGCAAGAAGACTATGATGTACCTTGAGAAAAAACATTTATCCCTAATGCTGTTGGTTGGGCCTTTTACAACTGTGTATAGTGCACACACCTGCTATTATCTCAGCACTTAGAAAACTGAAGAAAGATGGCTGTGAGTTCCGGGCCAGCCTGGGCTACAAAGACACATACGCCACATGCATACACACGCACCAAAAAAGGTGTCTCTTAAGTAGAAACGTGTATAAAACAGGTATGAACAGATGAATACACTATATATAGTTGATCTTAGCTAACAGGCTCCAAAGTGATAATTAGCTGTATGAACAATACAGTAACTGTTTCAGAAAAGTCATTATTAAGACATCTCGAGGACTGGACAGACAGCTTAGCTGTTAAGACAGCGTAACTGCTCCTGCAGAGGAATGGCGTTCAGTTCCCAGCATTCATGTTAGGTAGTTTGCAACAACCTGTAACTCCAGCTCAGGGGATCTTGGATGGCTGGCCTCTGTCCGCTCACACACACGTACATATATATAAATTATTAAAAATAAACTAACACACATCCTGCAAGAAACTGCTATTACTTCAATGTACTTTGGAGATAAAACTGGGATCCTGTTGGGTGGTGCACATCTTTAATCCTAGCACTTGGGAGGCAGAGGCAGGTGATTTCTGAGTCGAGGACAGCCTGGTTTACAGATCGAGTTCCAGGATAGCCAGGGATACACAGAGAAACCCTGCCTCAAAAAAAAAAAAACAAAAAAAACAAAAAAACCAAGAAACAAAAAACCAAAACAAACAAAACCCAAAACACTGGACCCTGTATTTGACAGACACTAGCTAAGGAAATCAGTTCTCATCCTGCCGTCATGAAATACCCCAGGTTTTTAAAGCCATGCCTATGTCTGGATCCCCTGGAGCTAAGAGGCATGGAGTTCAGCTTGTGCCCAAGTTTGAAAAGCCAATCAGGTGATCCTAGTGTGCAAAACTTACCTCTCCAACTTTAACAAGCGTTAAGAATCCCAATCTACGGCTTGTCAAATCAGGTGAGGAATGCATCTTTGTGCTCAACTGTGAGTTCACCATGCCCAAGACTCTAGGTCCAGTGCCCCAGGGTGGAGGTGAATGCAAGTGCAAGGACACAGGATGGGACTGGGTTTCAACTGCAGAGACTTGAATTCAGGTTCTACTCCTGTGATTCTATTCCTGCTGGGAGTCCATGAACCACATTTTAACAACTGCACTCCACTCCTTCTGCCAAGCCACAGAAGCACAAGCGGACAGAATGAGCTAAACCTAGCAAGCGTGCTCCCTCCGGCCTCACTGGAGCTGCTCTTCCTTGTTGGTCCCACTTCTCAGGCTGCAACTCCTCCCACGCTATCTTCTATGAGGCTGGGGCTGTTGACTGTGGGCAGCCTCAGTTCCAGTGTCAGGACTCAGTATTCCTTACAGACATGCAGATATACCCTAAGGTGCTGTTTAGTCTAACTGTTCAGTCTCAAACCAGTCCCTGGAGACCAGCAGGTAGCCTGTCCACTTTGTAAAATCCGGGTAAGTCATAGTATACATACCTCATCACTCTAGCAACCCTGGTGTTCTTTTGTTTACTCATTTTTATCATATGTGTCTGCATGTGGGTGGGCTATGCATGAGTGCAGACGCCAGGGGCACTGCATTCCCCAGCAGATGAAGTTGTGGCTGTGACCCACCAATATGGGTGCAGTGAATTGAATTTAGGTCCTCTGCAAGAGTAGTGTGTGCACTCTTAATTGCTGAGCTATCTCTCTGGCCAACTGTGGTATCTTCAACAATTATTGCTACAAAGAAATTTTTCCTTCACCATAACCAATCTTTCTAAATTTTATTCCAAAAAATTATGTGTTAAGATTAAGATGTCTATAAAGATGTCCATCATTACAATAAAGATCCAACTGGACAGATACGACAAGGACCCAATTCAGTATGTAATGTCCTATTTCCCCAATGGGCAAGTTAAAGAAGAAATAACAAAAAACCTTTCCAGGGTGGAAGGCCAGGACCACGCCTAACTGAATTGGTGCCTCTAAGGAGTTATAAAATCCGTGATTTTGTTTATTTATCCTTTTCTTTCTGTTCTTTTTCCTTCTTCTCCCGCTCAGCTTTAGCTTCTTCCTCCTCGTGTTTTTTGATCAACTGTTCTACTTCCTTCTGCTTGAGGACTCTGATCACGGTCTTTCCACTCTCTCTTGTTAGTGTGGCGATTTCCACTAAAAACACAAACACACACTTGTGTCAGAGGCAGAATGGCTTACTCTCTCTTTACCTGCATCTTGACCTTTTTCTTACTCTCCCATGTTTTATACTTTTAACGATACACTCACATTTTTACAGGAACAGAATACCTTTGATCCTGTGATACCCTGATTACCATTTTTACCTAAGGATCTTTTCTTCCCCCAGTAACTTTCTCAGCAAACATCTGTGTTACCCAGTAAGGCCAGGTCAGAAGTTGTTCTGACCCACAAGCTGAGCTGACCAGAAGGAACAAGCCAGAATATCCAAACAATACAACACTATTTTTAATGAACTTTCCTAATTTCTTTTTTTTTTAAATATTTATTTATTTATTATGTATATAATATCCTGTGTACATGTATGCCTGCAGGCCAGAAGAGGGCACCAGACATCATTACAGATGGTTGTGAGCCACCATGTGGTTGCTGGGAATTGAACTCAGGACCTTTGGAAGAGCAGGTAATGCTCTTAACCGCTGAGCCATCTCTCCAGCCCCCTAATTTCTTTTTAAAACAATGACCCAAAAGGCAGTTTCCATCAGGCATGGCGATGCACTATGGAAGCACAGGCAGGGATCACTGCTAGCTTGATGCCAGCTTTGTTCTAACAGTGAGGCCAAGGCCAGCCAGAAGCACAAGATCTACAAAACAGGAATTACATTCAGGCTCAAATCCTTAAGTCTGCCCTATGACGTAGGACTGTGGCTCTACAATTCAAGGCTAATCTTAGTCATTTAACAGCATGGAGTCTCCAGTATCCCCTAAGGTGACTGCTCCAATAAACTAAAACTCATTAAAGACCTAAGGCTGTAGCTACTCAATGAATCCCCTCACTCAGTTAGACAAATCAGGAGGACTGGGCTTACCTTTCTCAGCTGACAGTTTACTAACATCCATGGTCTTATTTAGCACCTTGATAGCGAGAGCAAGTGCCGACTTCAGAGTCATCTCTCCTTCTTTGTAGTCTTGTTTCAACATTGACACGGCTGCCTACAAAAAAAAAAAAAAAAAACAAAGAATCAACACAGAGTTTCCTTCAAATTTCTGCATTTAGGGGAGAGTACAACGGACTGGCCTAACACATCAACTGCCTAAATTCATATCAGCTTTGTAACCGGTACAAACAATGTTGACAGTGGGAAGGGTAACATGGATGGGGAAGGGACTAGGGTGACCAGTGTTCTGAAGGCCTTGAACCTGTGATCTCCACTAAAAGAGTTCAGAGGTGAGCAGGACGGTGGTAATGCACACCTTTTTTTTTTTTTTTTTTTTTAGTTTTTCGAGACAGGGTTTCTCCGTAGCTTTGGAGCCTGTCCTGGCACTAGCTCTTGTAGACCAGGCTGGCCTCGAACTCACAGAGATCCGCCTGCCTCTGCCTCCCGAGTGCTGGGATTAAAGGCGTGCGCCACCACCGCCAGGCGGTAATGCACACCTTTAATCCTAGCTCTTAGGAGGCAGAGACAGGTACAACTTTGAGCTCCAAGCCAGCCTGGTCTACAGAGCAAGTTCCAGGACAGGTTCCAAAGCTGCACAGAGAAACCCTTAATGGGGAACAAACAAACAAAACAGGGTTCAGATGTGAATTAACACATAAGAAAAAAGTTCTTACAACTTATAATTGAAAACTATCACTTAGCTATAAATATCATCAACAAACTACAGCATATAGCAGCAGAGACCACACTGAGGCCACGCTGACACTGGTGTTAAATGCTGTTAGACACTCTTGCACTAAATGCTACTCCAACAGCACAGACCTTAGCCTTCCCTGCATGTCAGCGTCACAAAGATACTCACCGCACTGTTGTTCCCGATACACGTGGCTTTCCATCCCCCGTAATTTCCACTTGGGTCACTCTGATAGAGCTGAAAGCCATAGTGTTTATCCCAGCCAATGTACAGCAGAGAAACACCAAAGGGACGCTTTCCTTTAACAAAGAAAAAAAAAATCAATAATCTCAATTTTAAAACCCAACCACCTCAATTTAGAGATGCCCATGGATGCGGCCCAAGCCTGTCTGTGGAATTAGGCATGCATAAATTGCTTTTGTGTTTTGGCCACCACAGATAAGCTCAGTCACAAATGCCACTTCTGTTTCCAGGAGCTGGACTCCGGCTAGGGAGGAAATGAGGAAACTGAAGCCCCCCACCCCCGTGCAGAATTTCATTATTATGTAAAAATAATCGGTTTCCAGACTTGAAAAGGCTACTCTGGCCACGAAGCATCCTGTTGTGGCATATGGAAGCATATTTTCATGAACAGGCGGAGCACCCAAGGGTTCAGGAGGCTGTGGCAGAAGGATGCAGAGAGCTCCAGGTGAGTCTAGGCTACACTGTGTGAATGTCTCACAAACAAAACATGTAGAGAGTAAGAGACTGCAGAGTGCTTATCCCTAAGCTGGGCTTTGTCACTCCTCCAACACCCAGTGATCACGGAAGGGACAAAGATACTGTAAGAGCCAGAGGTGGCGGATGACAGAACAATGTTTTCCAGACACAACAGGGAATTCACAAACAAGCTCGCAGTAGTTGTGACAACATGCTCAAGACCCATGCTATATAGCACATGGGAGGAGGGATGGGGGGGTGGGAGGGACACCAAAGGCGGAGGGATACAGGGGGGGCAGGAGGGAAGGGATTGGGGGATACTGAGGGGAGGAGGGATATCGAGGGAGGTGGGCATGACGTCCCACCTCCAGCTGATGAGTTTCTAGTATTGGCAGCTGCTGGGAGAGGAAGTCATTTTCTTTACAGGTGTGGCCCTTGCTAAAGTGACAATGCTATAGAGCAGGTCCCACACCCAGAGCGTTTGTTTAGCACAAACTGGACTGCAGAATTTAAAAGAGGAAAGTGGCAGGGAAAAAAAGAACATAAAGTCGGGCAGGTTGGCAGGTGGGGGAGAGATTTGGAAGGAAATGGTAGGTAAATATTATGAAAATTCACTGTATGGAATTCTCAGAGAATAAAAATATATTTTTAAAAATATATTTTAAAACCCCCAAAAGAAACCCAACAAAGCCAAAATATCAACCTCAAAAAACCTTAACACAGAACAAAACAAAGCAAAAGTTTATTCCTTATAGAATGTCTTAAGTTTTCAGAGTATTCCCAAAGAAACTCAGTACCTCCAAACTGTGTATAAGCCTGTTTGATATCGCATAATGCTGTAACCAACTGCTCACACGGAATTGGCTCCTGGTACTGTAATAAATACCTATGGTAAAGAGAATGACATATTAACAGGCTTCTCGAAAATATATACAATGCAAGGAAATGCCCTCTGGGGGGGGGGGAATATTTATGTGTTGTAATAAGAGCGATGGGACTGCGTCCCGCCACCCGGGCTTTACCCAGAATAATTACACGAAAACTGTATTCTTTTAAGCACTGCCTGGCCCATTAGTTCCAGCCTCTTATTGGCTCTTTTATATTGATCTAACCCATTTTTAATATTTTGTGTAGCACCACGAGCTGGCTTACCAGGAAAGATCTTAACCTGTGTCTTTCTGGAGTGGGAGAATTATGCCAACTCCTTACTAGGCTTTTTTTCTCCCAGCATTTTGTTCTGTCTACTCCGCCTACCTAATTTTCTCTCCTATTAAAGGGCCAAGGCAGTCTCTTTATTTAACCAATGAAATTAACACATTGGTTAAAAAAATAAAGAAACTGCTTGGCCCTCATAGGTTAGAACAGAGGTGGGTGGAGTAAACAGAACAAAATGCTAGGAGAAAGAGAAAGTGAGGTAAGACGCCTCAGACAGATCTCCCGGGCAGATGCGATGAAGCTCCAACCCAGGATGGACGTAGGCTAAAATCTTCCCGGTAAGAGCACCTTGGGGTGCTACACACATTATTAAAAATGGGCTAGTCCAGGTATGAGAGTTAACCGAGAAGAGGCTAGATATAATGGGCCAAGCAATGTTTAAAAGAATACAGTTTATGTGTTGTTATTTCGGGGCATAAGCTAGCCAGGTGACCAGGAGCTGGGGCGACAGGAACAAAGCCTGCAGCTCCCACAACATATATGGGGTAAATGTATAGCAGTGACTTATATTCTGAAGAGGACAGAGGGAGAAAAATACTAGTATTCTCATGTGTACCAGTATTTTATAATTTTATAAGTTTGTTTGATTAGGAAGAATACACTTTTCAATTAATGGACACTCCCCTCCCCCCCTCCCCGAGGGTATCTCTCTCTGTATAGCTCTGATCATCCTGGAACTCACTCTGTAGAGGTAGAGCAGGCTGGCCTTGAACTCACAGAGATCCCCCTGCCTCTGCAGGGATTAAAGGTGTGCACCACCGCCGCCTGGCCAATTAGGGGGTTTTCTAAACAACTTTAAACCCTTCCTTGGAGCCACGGGACTTGCTGGGTGTCCCACTACTCCATCCGTACCTTTGAGCAATGAGCCTTAGTTCATTAGTCAGGACGTTAGCATCAGATGTGATGCCTGCCACACTGCAAGCCATGTCCCTTGAAGGAAAAAAAAAAGACCAATGTAAGAGGAAAGATGCTTGCTAGGGCATTTCTGAGTGTTAAGAAGTACCTAGATCTATGAGGGATTCCCCAACTTTCCTTACAGGACCAGCCTCAGGGAAAAGGCTAGAAGATCATGATCTTGGGAGATGTTTAGCTAATGTCATTCAGCACAAATGATAAACAAATGCAGTCTCAGTTCTTTAGCAGACACATTTATTATTGCCCTCGGGGAGCAGGCAAGAGAAGGAACACTAAGTAGCTAAAGCAAGAGAGCCCAAGAAAAGGCTATGTTGAGTGGACAGACCACTCCACTGGGGTGTAACTCTCACTGCCTGGCCTGACAGGTGTGAGGGGAAGAGACACAGGGTGGGGGTTCACGGGCTGTCTAGGCATGTACTCCCTTTTCTGCCGGTTCCCAAAGCTTTCCCTGGGTCTCCACAGTCTAGCTACCTGCTGGGACTATGCCTCAACAAGTGCTCCAGTCACTGAGTAGGGCCTAAAGTGACTGTGGGGGAAGGACACTGTGTCAAGTGAGTGTGCCAAAAGCCCATGAGAGCACGAGGCCCATGCAGGAGTGTCTTTCTGGTGGCTATGTAACCTGGCACAGAACCCAACTGCCTTCTAAGTACCTATACCTTTCCTCTTGGACAAAAGTAGACCCCAGCCTTAATCAGAGAAGCCTCAGCTTAAGTGCTGGTAAGTGCATATCATGGATGTCTATGACGCTGGGGATAAGTGACAGTTGTGGGACAGCCCTAAAGAAGTCGCTTACACCACTGCCTCTCTAAGGCTTTCAGACAAGGCTTGTGGGAAAGGGGCCGGGAAGACAAAGAGTGGGCTGTAGACTACACTAAAATCATCAGTTCACAGCTGCTTTGGGCACAGGCAAGACCGGATGCTGTGGGATATTTGTACACTGTGTGAAGATGAATACAGTGACTGGTGTAATACAAAGCTGAATGGCCGATAGCTAGGCAGGAGGTACAGGCAGGATTTCCTAGGAGACACCAAGAGAGACAGAGAGGAAACAAGAGGGACAAGATGGAAGAGAGGTAACACCATGTGACAGAATGCAGATTAATATAAATGGGTTAATTTAAGTTATAAGAGCTAGTTAGGAATAGGCCTATAGGCTATAGGCTGAGCTTTCATAATTAATAAGACGTCTTCGTGTCATTATTTGGGAGCTGGCTACCAAGACAGAAAAAGACTTGCCATAATCCTACCAATAATCAGTCGAGAAGGGGCTCATAGGATCCTGTCTTTATACTGCAACTCTTAGCTGCTGATAGATTCTGACAAAGGAAGGATCACTGTCCTTGGTTATGTGCCAACTGCTAAGCCCACCGGCCTCCAATAGCTTTCAGCCCACAGTTACACAGATGGCCCTGGGAATGTCAGTCAATCTGTAAACAGACTAAACTTAAGAAAGATTTGTGGGGAGGGAGAAGGAAGACGGGGAGGGTAGGGATAGGATGTGAAAAGGGTCAGAATGTACGGTATACACCTCCAACACTGTAATAAAAATAATTAGATAGGCCTCAGTGACAAACATTCAGTGGGCCTACCCCACAAGGCAAAGTCTCTATGAAGCACGGCCAATCCTCCACGAAAAACAAAGTCCCAAGTACTCAACCTGAACAGAAACTAGATGTACTATGTGGCTGACTGTGCCCAGATCTCCAAATCCCGGTTCTTTGGTAAAGAGTCAGTGTAATTCTCCAGGATCTCTACTGTCATCCTAAGCAATACCACTAGGGCTTGCTTTATGCTAGGCATTGTGTGAGTTTATTTCGCTCATTTATTTTGTTTCTTTAGATTTCTATAACCACTCTGAGTCCCCAAGAAGTCAAATAATTGGTACAACATCACACCTTGTATTGATGGACGTTGACTTGTAAACCGAATCTGTGTGACCAGTAAGTACATACTTTTATCACTGCACAATGCCTTTTTGCACTGTTTAGCTTTGCACTCGAAGTGAATTACACATACTGAACATACTGAGACATAATACAATAAATGGGCTTCGAGGAGGTTTCAAGCAAAATAAAGCAAATACACATTTTCACAAGAAAAGAATTAATCTACTCCCTTCAGTTCTACCATCTCACACAGAAGACTCCTTTCCAGACATGCCAATCCCACTTGGGCTGGGAAGTGAAATAGTGCAAACTCTCCCCCAAGATCCACTTACTCATTAAGTTTGTAGATTTTTTCAGAAAAAAAGACTTCGTCCAGAAGCTTGTGGATGTTGCGCCGCTCTGCAGCAAGCAGGACTCCATCATTGGCTAAGATCCCCAAACAGGTGCCCGCGTGTCCGATAGCTTCCATGGCATACTCCACCTGGTATAACCGACCTGCAAAACAGCGAGACCCAGCGTCCCTCTGTGTTGCTACAGTGCTGAGCCAGAGAATCCAGCAGAATCCAGCAGACACAGCGGATTCAGCCTTAGTTTCACTACTCAACCTAGGGACAACAGCTATTTCAAAGTACAAGAAGAATGAGCCTAACACCAAAAGACACACGTATAGCTCCCCCCCCCCCCCCGCCCCGCTAAAAGTATAATACTTAAAAAAAAAAAAAACTAAACAAAAACTTTCTTTGAAGCAAGTTAAATTTTCTAATTTACCTTCTGGAGAAAATATTGTGGTCCTGGAGTCATATCTTCGAGACTGCAAAGGAAAAACAGAGCGATGATGCCTGTCACTGAAGTCAGTCAGCTTCTGGAAGCCCACAAACCTACAGCTGCGTCCCGGTGCTGAGTTCAGGGGAGGAAGCCACCATTCCACCCCACCCCACCCCACCTCCACCTGCTTCTGCTTCACTTCTCCTGTCAGTCTCTTAGCTGCAAACAAGAAGTAGCATTCAACAGGCACGAATTAAACAAAACGTGTCATGAACTCACCATGGCTTCTGAACTTTATGTAACTCCTGTGAAAAGAAAATAGGATCATTAAAAAAAATCATAATTTAAGAAGTATCTTCTAGCCAGGCACACGCCTTTAATCCCAGCACTCGGGAGGCAGAGGCAGGCGGATCTCTGTGAGTTCAAGGCCAGCCTAGTAGCTAGTTCCAGGACAGGCTCCAAGGCTACCCAGAGAAACCCTGTCTCAAAAAGCGAAAAGTGTCTTCTACCTTTTAAATAGTTTGCTCCACACCCTCATTCAGCTAACACTATGCATCAGGCAGCCATCGGGAACTATACTGGATGCCGAAGGTGAAAGCCAAGTCTGTCTGAAGAACTCAAATCGAGAGGCCAGAGGAGAGGGACACAGATCATAAAGTAACCAGAAGAGGCACCGAGGGTGGGGTGGGAAGAAGGGATGGACAGCAAGTAAGTTTTTGTGAAACAAAAACCGAGAATGAGAGTGAATCACAGATGGGAGAGACAAAAGTAAGTAGAAAAGCCTCAAGTCGAAGGAAAATTGGGAAAGGGTGAAGGGAAGGACATTCCAATTAGAGCGGGATGAGAAAGGTTAATGAAGTGGAAATGAGCGGATAAGAGACAAGACAAATTGTCTAAGCCCGATAAGGCCCTAAATTTCAGGGTGTAGGGGCAGGTGGTAAACCTGGGCCTCATATTTTCGAAAGACAGCAATGGAAGCTCTGCCTTTGTGGAAAAATAGCACCCTGAGTTCAGTTCCTATACTGCCAAATAATGGGAAACCAGGAATCGTGGCTGAAAAATTAAACAGACATCTGAAGGGTCTGGGTGCTCAGGTGAAAACTTAATCTCTTAACTCCTGACGGCTCCGTCGAATGACTGGGCGCAAGGACCCAAGAACTGACATTTTAGGAAAGTCGTCGGCAAGCTAACCTGCCAGGAGTCGATTCCAACGTGTAGGAGAAACAGAAAGGTGGCCCCGAGCACAGCAGCCAGGCCACGCCGGGTTTCGATTAGGCTGTGAACACAGCTCTACCTCCACGCCCCGCGCCGGCGCCACAAGCGTTGGACTTTCCCCGCAGCTCCACTTTCCCGAAGGGACTCGCAGGGCCGCCCCACCCCTCGCACCGACGCAGGGGGTCCCAGAGCCCGGGCCCGCCGTCCAGGCCGCGCGGGGATGCCCGACGGCGGACGGCGGGGTCCAGTCCCTGGCAGGCCGGTCACCGAGGAGGCGGGTGCAAAGTCATCGTGCCCACGGCTCCTCGGTGGCGGCCGCCCCGGCCTGGGCCGTTGTCTCCACGCAGATAGCCCCCGCCCAGGACACAGAGACCACGCTTCCGCGGGCCGTAGGGGACCGAGCCTCACCGGAGGAAGACAGTGAGGGGTGCAGATCGGTGTCGCTTTACTCAGCTGGAGAACCAACCCGGATGGCCAAGCATCCGCGGCGAATATGGCTCCCGAGCATGCGCAAAACTGCCAGGGGGCGGGGCGGCGAGGACGCGGAAGTCCTCCTGGTGGCGGGGCGGAGACAGGCTGCCCCCACGTGGACATTGGAGGAGAACAGCCTCGTCTTAGGCTGGGGTCGGAGTTAGAGGTGGATTGGAGGTAGGAGGGAAGAGCGTAGTCTGCGGAAAGTGGAACCAAGTTCGTCGTACACTTTGCTACACTTTGCGCTACACTTTCTGTTTCTCTTCCGGACCGTCCTAACGAAGCCCAGCGTAGCGACTATAGACAGAACCGAATCACTTGCTATTCCAACCTTGCCCCTTAACAGCTTTTCCTTCATCCTACCCTGAAGCCTCATTTTCTCCTCTCTCTGATCCAGCTCTTTCATTGGGAGAATTTCTCTTCATCCATCCCGCCTTTCTTACCTGGTTTCTGTGCTCATGTTGGGGTTGACTGTGCCTGGTTTAATATTGAAGTCATCTCAGCCCACTGGACAGGGCTTTATCCTCTGTGTAGGGTGCAAAATGATTTGGATCTGTTTTTGTTGTTGTTTGTTTTGTTTTTAAAGGGGGGAAGCTTAGAAATTAGTGGCATGTAGTCTGGGCCTGGCCAGTACTCAGCAGGCAGAGGTAGCAAGTTCAGGGCCAACCTGGTTTGCCCTGTGAATCCCAAGTCAGCCAGGGTTGCATAGGGAGACTGTCTCAAAAATGAGAGAAAAAAATAGTAAAATATCCATACAGTGCAGCAGATATTTATTATAACAGAAATCAGCAATATTTGCATTAGGAATTTAGTGAAGGGAATCCTCGTTAGCAAGAACAATCCAGAGAGAAACTGCAGGTTCCACTGTATAACAGGATGAACGCTGGTCTGGAGTAAGCCGAAGTTTCAGTCCGTTTTTCTGGTCCCTAGTTTCCTGATTAGCCAAGTAAAACAAAAATCTTAAATGTGAGAATCCCAAGTGTTTCACATGTGAGCGATCTCATTTGTTCTCGTTCTCTCCATCTCTCTCTCTCTCTCTCTCTCTCTCTCTCTCTCTGTGTGTGTGTGTGTGTGTGTGTGTGTGTGTGTGAACAGGAGAGGAGAGGCAAAAGAAGTATGGGATTCTGTAGTAATTAGGAGCAAGGATCAAAACCCAAAGACCTAATTTAAGATCTAAGCCTGGGCTCTCTTTTGAGTCTATTAATTCAGCTTTTAAAGGCTCTATTTTCAGACTATCTGTATAATTCTGTTCTGGATTAAATAATGTTCAATAAACATCGGTGATAATATATATACTGAACAACTTATGGCGCAGGAAAGAGGGCTGCTTCAGATTGTTGACCTAAGATTCTGATTTGTTAAAGCAGCAGGGCTCACTGGATATGGCAATGAGAAAAGCAAGCAGCATGTCACACCAGGATTTTGAGCTTAGGTAACCTGGAATCTGATCCATTATTTAGTAACTATTTATTGTGCCTCTGCTATGTGCGGAGTCTATGCTAAGAGCGTGTCATATTCTCTTACAAAACCTGAACTCTCTGGCATAGGTACAACCATTACCTTGATTTTACAAAACCCTAACCCTAACTCTCTGGGATAGGTACAGCCATTACTTCAGCTTTACAGAAAAGAAATCACAACATAGAGAAGTTAAAAATGAATTCCAAGTAAACTCAGAGAAATGCCTAGCTTGGGAAATTTAGACAGGTCGATAGGCAGACAGACAGACAGACAAGCAATTACAGTATCATGGCCTACTCACACAGACAGATAAGCACTGATGAGGTGTGTGAATGGCCAGGGTTCTGACCTGAGCCATCTGTAGAAAGCGTGGTTAAACCAAAAAAAATGGACCAAGTGTGGTGGACACGCCTACAGTCCCAGCTACTGGCTTGGTTGCATGAAGCAGGATTATCACTTGAGTCCAGCATGGACAACACAGTGGAATCCGGTCTAAACATAGAAAAGAAGCCCACCCTACAAGAATAAGTAAATAGCCACTTACATTAGAGTCATGGAAAGAAACCATTTCATTTCATTTCACTAACTCTACAGATTCCTATAAAAAGACAATCAGTTATAGAGAATGAAGAGCATCTGGTGTAAGGCTAGGGGCCTACACTGGGAGGCTGAACAGGACTGTGAGAACCAAGGGGCTGAAGACCAGCCTGAGCAGTGTAGGGAGCACCCATCTGCTGAGGATCCTTGCTGCTGTCGGGGTTAATGGCCTTGCCTGGATGTCTTCATTTGCTTCCACGCAGTTCCGCTGTTGTCTAATGTCGACCTCTGGATCGAGCTTCCCAGTAGCTCTCAATGTTCTGAAGTGTTTTCCCCTACGGCACCATAGCATCTTTCCTCTGGCGTGCGTTCATCTTGTGAATGTGTCCAAAGACTCTTCTGTGGGAAAGGCACTCTCACAGGTGCAAGGAGAGACACACAGACATAAGTGTCTCATGGCTCTACAATGGTCATATTGACAGGCTAGATGAGCAGATAAGACAGCGAAATGCTATGGTAAAGACAGAATCCCATGGGATGCTAGGGAGGTGAGGTCAGAGTACATACAGTTAGTGTTGTGTAGACTAGGTGTTTAAAATATGTGGATTATTTAAAATATATAAATATAGTTTACATATGTATTCCTTTCACAGTTTAGTTATTGATTTGCCGGGTGGTGGCGGCGCACGCCTTTAATCCCAGCACTCGGGAGGCAGAGGCAGGCGGATCTCTGTGAGTTTGAGGCCAGCCTGGTCTACAAGAGCTAGTTCCAGGATAGGCACCAAAGCTACATAGAAACCTTTTCTCAAAAAAACCAAAAAAAAAAAAATTATTGATTTAAGGCCTGGAATAGACTTTAAGAAACTGATTACAAATCATATATAATTATGCATGATTGAAAGAAAAGACAAACAAAGCCCACAGAAAGACATGCTTACTTGTGTGTTTTTCTCGTCTAGTGCTGAGGTTAAGCCCAGGGCCTTGCACACTAGGAAAGAGTTCTATCTAAATGTAGTACTTTCTTAAGAGTAGAAGGTAGTCCTAAGGTTGCTGTAAAAACTAGACCTTCCTTCGCCTCTTCATATTCGGCATGGATTTGTTTTACCATTTCATTTTTAATTCTGCAGGAAAATCCTTCATGAATTTGATCTGGACCTAACTGAGTTTTGATTGCCAAGGAAATACAAACTTGTCTCCGGTCACGTGGAGATCCCGGATTCATAGGACTTGGCAGTTTCGAACCAGATTTCTTCTACAGCCTTCTGGCCCATGTCGAACATCTGCTGTAAATGCTTCCACCCCGTTTTTGCTGTAACCATGAGGTACTCTCTGTTCTCCGGGTACAGCTGGCAGGAGTACTCAGCCATGACAAGAGACTGACTGAAGCGACTGCAGACAAGGAGAAACAGTGCGCTCCTCTCCACAGCCGTCAGAGGGATCACGCTTTCAAACCCTGCAAGGATGTGGCCTCCGACTTGTATGGGGTTTGTGCTTTCAATCATCATGTACATAATGGTGATTGCCACTTCAAAGACATAGTAGCCATAGCTCATGTCACCAAAGTCTAAAATCCCAGAGACTCGATACACAGCATCTCCAGAGGCTGGCTCGCTGGAGTCTACTAAGATGTTATGGTCGTTAAGATCACCATGATTGATACCTGAAATTAGAAAAATCACATAAAAAGTTATTTAACATGCCAACTCATTCTCTTTCTATCTAAAGCAAAGCCATCTAAAGAATTTGACGAGAAAAAAAAAGAACAAACTCTATTTTCTTAAAGCCATTTTCCCTGGAAAGGAACAGGCAGAGTTTTGGCTCCTTTGCTCTTGTTTCTCACCAGTGCAGAGGGTAAGGCTGAGACTGCAGTGCTTGCAAACACCCTGGAGGACTGCTCAAAGCCAGAGATGTTTAAAAGGAACAGGAGCACATTCATATCATTACAGGAAGCAGAGTCTTACATGGAACATATGCACCTTTATTTATAGCTAGGCTTCAACACGTCCTGATAGCCCTCGTGTGATGATGCACACCTTGTATCCCAGACTCAGGAGGCAGAGGCAGACAAATCTCTGTGAGTTCAAGATCAACTTGGTCTACATACAGAGTTTCGGGCCGGCCAGGGCTGTAGAAAGAGAGAGACCCTGTCTCAAAACCAAAAATAAACCAGAAACTGAAAGTGTTTAGAAAATGTTATAGCAATTTGACATCCGAGAACATGATACATGGCCTGATTGGTTATATCTAGTGTAGTTAGCTGCATGTGGTCCAAGCTCTGACCCAGGCATACACAGTAGAACCATGCATCAAACTTTAATATGTTGGGAAAACAGAAAACCCCTAACTTGTCTTTATCGTGGGCAGTTTGAAAAACACTGATTGAAGCTACTGTCTAGAATTTCAATACTGTCAGTTTGTTTCCAGCAACCAAGCACTGAGACCCAGATACCTTATAACTAGGTGATACAGAACATGTCTTTTTAACTTACAAATGTATTCTTTTTTTAATATTTATTTATTTATTATGTATACAATATTCTGTCTGTGTGCATGTCTGCAGGCCAGAAGAGGGCACCAAACCTCTTTACAGATGGTTGTGAGTCACCATGTGGTTGCTGGGAATTGAACTCAGGACCTTTGGAAGAGCAGGCAATGCTCTTAACCTCTGAGCCATCTCTCCAGCCCTACAAATGTATTCTTGAAGCGGAATCTGAATCTGTAGCCAAAACTGGCATAAATCTCATGACAGTCTTTTCGCCTGGGTCTCCCATGTGTGGGGAGTAGAGGTGTGAGCCACCATGCTCAGCTTAACTTCCATATGGTTAGGTTTACCTAAATTACGCTTAATTAACATGTATCACAGTAATACCAATGAACACTATTGTAAACCATAGATTCTATTTATTTATTATGTATACAGTGTTTTGCTTTCGCGTATCCTTGCAGGCCAAAAGAAGGCAGCAGACCTCATTACAGATGGTTGTGAGCCACCATGTGGCTGCTAGGAATTGAACATGGGACTACTGGAAGAGCAGCCAGTGCTTTTAACCTCTGAGC